CCTGCTGGGAAAAATGTCAAAACCCCTCCTTCAGTTCCTTCATCCAGAAAACAGGTAGAATGACTCTCTCCCTCCCCCCCTGCAGAACTGTAAGGACAAATGAGTTCATTTGTGAAAAGTGTTTTGAAAACATTAAAAGTTGAGTTAAGCCATTGCTATTGTGCCAGAACTCCATGCTGCAGATCCACAACAATAATTAATCCATCTATAATAGGGGGGAGCTGGGTGATCCCAACAACATTCCCTCCATCAAAGAGCTCAGAGTAGTGGAGACAAGACCAGGCTAAGCAGCAGACCTGCTCTCCCAGATGGCTTTCTGCTGAGTCCTGGCTGGAGTTTAAAGATCTGTTGAGTCTTCATCTGAAATCTGTAATTTCTATCTCACTCTGTGTGTGAGAAAAGATACAGTAAATTTACCCAATATATCTTAATTACTGTGCTTACAAGCAGCTGCATATTGAAATGAGTTTTTGAATGCTTATTTTGGCAATATTTTTGCATAAATTTCTACAAACCACAATTTTCAAACTCAGAGCCTAAAATAAGTATCCACATCCCTAGCACACAATGTTGATTTCAGCATCTTGCAGAGAATCCTGAGCTCATGCATAAACTATATTGTGTACTGAGGCTGTGTGGGGAACAGATATCCTGTTTAATTATAGTGTGGACTTGAATGTTATAAATTATTCTAATTTTGTTAAAATTTAATTATCGTGCAAGTGGACCTGACCTTTGTAATTTAAATGTAGATGGACATGGCTCATGGAGAATAATGTTGCAGGCCATTTTTCTTCTCTCTAAAACACATGGATATGATACAGCAGAAAGGTCACTTCTGCTCACAGACATGAGAGTGTGTCAGCTTCATCCTCGTCCTTCAAGTGCCCATTGAAATGTCTTTAACATCCCATTTCTTGATGTCAGCCCAATGATGGCATATTAAATTACCATTTTAAATTGTACCTGCTGTGCATCTGCACCATTCCTTCTTTGGGGGTCCCAACACCTAACAGTCCTGCTTTGCTACTGCTGCTCAGGCTGAGATATTTTCAGGATCTTTTTAGCATGGCCAACAGCCATAGAAATTCACCTACGGCTGCCTATTGCTTAAGGGAGCAGCAACTGGAGAAGCAGTGTGAGGGGAAGAAATGAGAGAAGATGACAGCAAACAAAAAGTTTGGGTGTAACACAGTGTACCTGCATATGGAGGCCTTAAGACTGAACATGAGTGATGCTGGCTGACGGTATGGTGAAAGACTCACAACACAAATTGCATGACCGGGCTCTATAAAAGCTCTGACTGACACTTCTCTCTCTGTCATTATGGCCACTCTCCCAGATCCCTCAGAGCAACGGGAAAATCCAGCTGCCAGGTGTGGTTTCTCTGTGTGTCAAATCTCAACTTTAACAATGGAAAGACACAAATTAGAGGGTGTCTGGTGGGGTGTCCCATCGTATTCTCCTTTCTCAGTAGCACTTACTCTGATGTACGGTGCAATTGCTTACAAAGTTGGAAACAGATTTCCATTTCCTCCATAATCTGCATATGCGGCATTTAATGACATCTAGAACAGTGGTCGGGACTGAACACTGGTGTGAAGGTTATGGACAGACAGAAAGGTGAAACAAGTCCTGCTGTGACTTATTCTTGTTTTCTGGGAAGAAGGAAAGGGAAGGAAGGAAAACAAATCCCAAGCTCCCAGACCAAGTCTCAGCCTGCTACAGTGTGAGTTTTAGCAGAGACAGGGCTTGGCATGAGCTGTTGGAGGGCAGATAGGAACAGCACCACATCTCTGAGCACCTGGGCTGACACAAGGAACTGATTTGCATCTCTCTGAGGCCCATCCTGCCCTCCAAAGCCCTGACACTTGGAAAAGGCAGGAAGAAGCAGTTTGCCAGAGGTCTATTTGCAGTAACACTGGTAAAATGCAAGCACGCATACACTTCTGCCAGCCAAGTCAGACGGAGGGATGGAGGAATCTATCTGGAGAGAAGTGCAGTAGATGACTGTTGCAGCCATTCAGCTTTGCATCATGACCAGCAGGCAAACCTGGGGGGGCTGCCACCGCTCACATCTGCCCCGAGGACACCTGTACTACAGCAACTGACCCCTTGATCTCCAGAGAGATGCAGGATTTGAAGAGCTCTGCCCTCCACCCCAATTAGTCTCAACCATCTGTGCTGCATGTCCTGGAAGCAGAAAACAGATCTGAGCTCAGGCCAGGAGATGGAAAAAATTTACACTTGTGCAACACACAAATGTCAAGATACACATTCCCAAAAAATATTTTGCTTATTCTTCAGGAGCTTCCTCTGAGCAGAAATTGTGGTCAAGTCCTTGAGCAGGCACAATCACCTCTGCCTGCATTTGTTGCTACTACAGTTCCCTTTTTGTTTTCAAGAGCTGGTCAAATAATATTAATCCAAAACACCTTTGAAAGATTTTTTTAAAGGCTCTCATCTTTGAGGTGGTTCATACCAAGGCTATCAAAAATCTTGCCCTGCAATTTGAGAGCAGTTTCTCTTATTTGAGGAGAAGCCATTTTAATTCACTGAGAGCAAGCATACAAAGGAATACCCAACAGCCAAACGAACCTGGCTGCTTCGCTGACAAAAGAGAAAAACCTTGTAAGTGCAGCAGCAAGCTCTCTTTTTAAATTATTAACTACCTAACATTCAGTAGATACTAAAAGTGGAATGCTATTGATTTTCTTTTGTTCAGAAACATTATCAGCTTTACTCAAGGGCCCCAAATGGTAACTCAAAGAATGAACGCTAATTCTATTTTTAATTCTTTCAATTAATACAATGCTATTTGAAACATTACAAAATGTTTCTTCTTTTTTTTTTTTTTTTTTTTTTTACTTTACTTGTTCATTGTAAACTAAGAATTATTTAGCTTATTCTTCTGGTATGGAACCGATACAACCCCGTATCTTTGTGATTTTAATTATCAATGGTCAGTCTCCTCAGTTTTTTCAAGTGCGCGTGAAATTTGAAGTGGCAGCACACAGACCATTAATAACAAACACCTCAGTTCTGATACAACTTTCTTGTATATTTTTCTTTCTGATTTAGCTGGGTTGTTTTCAGTAGGTTTATTTTTAAAAATGTCACTGATATCAGTATGGCATTAGCAAATGAATTAATAAGTAAGCCAAACATGAGCTTTTATTTTGTAATGGATGGGCTGTTATTGAAATGTTCAGGCAAAAGACTGACACTGTGCATGCAGAAAATTGCCTGAATGACACATCGATGTGTGATTTTGCAAGAGTAGGAATATATTAGAATATGGAAAATATTTTGCTGCATAACTATGCTGAACAAACATTTCTTCTTACAAATACAGTAACACATTCCAATGTGCTGCAGTTATGCATTTACTGTAGTATGTTCAAATTAGAAACATTTTAATTAGTTATAATGAATAAAAAAAATTCTATGCTTTTTACTTCTATGACTAAGCAATAGTAATATTTTTCTCTCAAAGAACAAATACACCTCAAGAGAACTGACTTTGTAGACAGTCATTTATCATGATTTTCTATAAATTTTCTAATGAAACTCTTGTTTTGGGATCCATTAATTAATTAGTCTTATGTGATTTTAAGAGCATAAGGATCTGATAGTGCACAGAGCTTAACCAAAAAGTTTATGACAGTTGTAAATATTACAGGACAGGCATACTGTATTTGTATTGGATTATACAGGAGAATTTGTACCATGCTTGCCTTTACTGTAGATGATGGTAAACATTGCTGTAATTCCTGTACCTGCCACTGCAAAGGTACCCTTCAGCTCCATTATAAAATATGTTTTAAGAGCTTTAAAAATATAAGTATTTCACTCATCTAGATTTATTTACAGTGAGCTACTTGGAAGTTTGTAAAGGCAGTTCTCTCAAACTCACTACAAAAGAAAGATTTAAAATCTCTTTTTCACATGCAGAACAAAATGTCTTCCTCCCCAACCAGGGTCACCGGAAAGGGTTTGGAGACCTCCACATGTAGATCCTTTTATCCCCAGCAACCCAAAGGCTGCACAGAGAACACAAGAGGTCAGTTGCATACACTCTACAACTATCTGAAAGGAGGTTTTAGGGCGGTGGGGGTTGGTCTCTTCTCCCAGGTAACCAACAGCAGGACGAGAGGTGATGGCCTCAAGCTGCACCAGGGATGTTTCAGGTTGGATATTAGGAAAAATTTCTTCTCTGAAGGAGTGGTCAGACATTGGAACAGGCTGCCTAGGGAAGTGGTCGAGTCACCATTCCTGAAGGTGTTCAAGAAACATATAGAAGTAGCACTCAAGGGATATGGTTTAGTGGGCATGGTGGTGATGAGTTGGTTGGTGATGGTTGGACTGGAGGATTTTAGAGGTCTTTTCCAACATTAATGATCCTATGACTTACATGTAACACCTTCACAGCAGGAGGTGAACCTATATAATCACATACACCCAATTCTTGCTATTTACAAGGAAGAGATAAATACTGTACCAAAAAAGTTTCCAAGGGAAAAACTTAATAGAGACAGTAATTTCAAGTAAAATGCAAAGCCTTTTCTCCATACAGGCTTTGTACTGGTGTAGGTCATTCATTTAGCAGCATTTTCCATCCCATGAGTGCCACCACATGAGGTGACCCACCTCACTTAAGAATGTCAAAACCACTCTGCCCTGCACACCCATACACCAAAAGATCTATGGGTGGCTCTGTCTAGCTATAGAATAGTATAGCCCACTTCTCTCCTGAATAGAGACAGTTATAGTGGAGTGAACATCTCAATAACCACACAGCTGCATCCCCTGGCTCAGCTGCCTGTGCTAGAGGGCTCCTTCCACCTCGTT